TTTCAGTATTTCAGCACTGAATGTGCTTTTCATTAAGATTTGTGAATGTTTCATGAACAGTACTTTTTTAAAATCTCGGTGATGTCCTAATTCGGAAGTGCTGTGCACTGACTTTTGCTCTGTGGTTTTGACTGAAACGAGATCAACCAGACAGAGGAAGTGAGAGGTGGGGCTTGTGTAGATGATTGTCTCAGGACGCTTTTCCATTGGTTAACCACAGCCCCTCCCACTCCCACACTCGCAAATTGCTAAAGCACTTATTGGGAAACCCATAATGTTTCAGATCTGAGATTTTAGCATAATACCTGTTTTAGGCTCTCACGAATGTTAGGACACACACACACACACACACACGCAAACACACTCACTTAAGCTCACTGACTCAGAAGGGAAGATCTGAAATGAGAGCAAAAAATTGTGGTCCATTTCTGTCACGCAAGAAAATCCACTGTCTAAATGATTCACACACTTCCATAGTCGCAAAACATATTCACCAGTGCACATGTAGATTTTAACATACAAATGATACCACAAATTTAAAATGTCAAAAACAGCCTTGTAAATAGCCTTGAAGATGGGTATGGAGCCAAATCAAAATAAATAAATGTAGATACTTGTAGGTAAAAAAAAAAAAAACAGGTAAATAAAAATCGTGCATTCTTACTTTAACATGACTTTTTCAGTGCAAACTTTTAATTAGATAATTTGTGAATTAATTAAAACTGATTTTTTTTTATTAAACTTTTTCTACTATTTCTTTTATTTGCAGCCCAAATATGCATGTAATCTGTTTAACATCAAAGTCTCAGTAAAAACAGCTCTTAATCAATTTAATCGAAACCACAGCGTATTTAACGCAGAAATAAGATTGACGAAGTGATCTCAACCACAGTGCATGTTCATACTTTGCTCTAAACTTTCTGATATTCAGTGATTAAATTCTACATCAGCACATTTTATTAATCACTACTTTTTGCTATGGAAACGTACCAACTTGTTGCAGGCAGTTTAGTGGAATTACTGTGACAATTCAGGTTAAGTGGGGTAAATGTATGAAGAGTGCCTTTAATGTTAGTGTTTATATTCTACTGAAAACTAAAGGAATGTGATGCTTAGAAAATCAGTGCTGTTCCCGGTTCTGGAATACCTTACTGTTATTTTCCGTTCTTTTTCTATTCTTTTTTTTAATTTCTTTATAGATCAGAAGAACATGTTCATCTTATCTTGCTGTGACTATACATGATATGAAGGCTTACTTCCTTTAAACTTCCTTAGTATTCAGTTATTATTGTCAGCATCTGTTATCTCTTCATGTAGTCCAGAGTGATGCTCAAAACCTTCCATTGTGGACAACAAGCCAGTTTTACCCTTTAAGCTAAATAATAAAGTTTATAAGACAAGTTTATTCTTTTTATATACTTCAGACATCTAGAACAAATCTGTGTAACACGTAGTTACAGAAATAAAATACAAAATCCACGTTTTGAAGATTGTAGGAAACTTATCCAAGATGTTGGCTAATCAGTTTTATGTTATACAACATGCAGGATCACAGAATGAAAGAGTGACCAAAAATGATTAGCTCTATGGAACTAATAGTCTATTAATGAGGAGTCACTTTGATGGAATCAGTTCCAGAGGTCCTCTTTTATTCTTTTTTTAATCAAATCCCAGCCTTACAGAAAATAAATCATAAACTCATATTATGAACATTCTCAAATTTAAAGGCACAATATGTAAGATTTTTTTTGTTAAAATATCCAAAAACCACTAGAACAGTTTTATGTATTTTGCTGACTTGTGTACTTACATTATCCCAATGTTTCGAAGAAGGTTTAAATCCAGAGAAATAAGCCATTTTAACTAGTTACACGGTCCGTGTCTGTAGTATCATTGTGTCGCCTGCCAATGACGTCCTAACCCCTCGATTTCCGGTTTTGTTTTGTAGAAATCATGGAAACACCAAAGACGCTTTAATATTCTATGCATTTTATTAGACAGGTGACGACCGCACAGAGTAGCATTATAACAGAACGTTCAAATGTATCTAGTATGATAAAACAGAGCTGCTTACTTCCGCTGCTTTCCGGAAGGAGCGGAAGCGGTCGACTGTGGCATAATAAAAGCTCTGCTGCTTTTGAGGCCTGTGTCGCGCTCGTTCAGCAGCCTCGTTTTGCTTCGACGGCTTTCCGCCTCTGCTTCATACTACGACGTTAATAATACATTAGCTCATCCATGAACATGATTTCTGCCTGAGTCCCGTTGGATTGCATCGGCTGTGTGGATGAAGATGACAACTCCCATGATTCCACACTCAGTCACGGCGTCATCACACTATGCCTTTGATTCTTTGTTTGTTTTGAATACGCGCCCTCTAGTGGCAAAAAATTACATATTGTGCCTTTAACCTTTTTTTTGGGTCAAAAATGAGTCAATGAGTCAATTATGTTTGTTTTTACTTGTATTTTTTAAAGGGATAGTTCACGAATGAAAGGGGGGGGCAAGGGGCTCATCATACTTGTCATGTGACACACAGCAGCCATTATAGCACTGTATCTGATATAGGCTTATGTTTTATTTATTTATTAATTTGTATTTTTATTCGAAATATTCCCAAACTAATGTCTCTATTCTCAAATATGTGTAAGTAAATGCATTTTGCACCTTTATAGATTATGTTAGGTGATTTATAATGGGCGATGAGCAAAGTAGCCTAATAGTGTAATCTATTGACTATGCAAAAAAACCTGTCTTTTTACTTAAGTACCAGATATGGGTGTCTTGCCATAAAATATTTTTAATACAACTGACTTTGTATTTAATGTGAATTTAATAAAAACATTGCAAGTTACTAATTTTAACACTTTCGTTGTACAGAAAGAGAGCAAAGAACATTTACATTATCAAAGAACGTTAACTTCGGTCTAGACAGAGTTCAAGCACGCTCAAAAACTCCCATTATAGTCACTGAAGCTGTTTACACTGTGAAATGAATATCTTACATCGTACGCACATGCACTTTGTTTCTGACGAGAGAATTCACCAGAGAATTCATTCAGCGAGTGCGTGCGATGAACAGAACACCGGAGTTTCAGCGATGACTCATCTGAACGTCTCTGATTGGTCATTGCATTCATAAGTGCAACAGAATCATGTGTGATTGGTTAATGCCCAGCGCTGTAAAAATGCGTCTGTCTCTTGCTCAGTGCCAGCCAGTGAACGCAGATTTTAATTTAGCAGCTGGTGATGTGCCGCACACGTTCTAATCACACTGGTGTGATTGAATCAAATATAAATATATTATTCGGCTATTTTTCTTTTCTTTTTCTTTTTGAAGCTGCATTCAAAATCCACTTGGCTCAAAAATCTGAGGGGGCATGTAGAATGGGCATGACGCCTCTACCCTCAGGCCATCTAAGATATAGGTGACTTTTTTCTTTAGTAAGACAGTTAAGAAGATTTTTAGGTGAAACTGTGGTCATTGGTGATTCATAAAATTCAAGTCAGCAGCTGCATGTATTTGAGAATATATAACATATTAGGGATGCAAAATTTATATGTGGCTCCTGCAGATATATTGAGGTCTTATGAAGCGAAACGATCAGTCTGTGCAAGAAACTGAACATTATTTACAATTATTACCTGTAATGCATAGCCTCAGGCAAACAGTCTGGAGTGATGTCTGGTTCACAAATGAATCATTCTTTTAAACCATTTTTTTTTTTTGATGAACTATTTGAAAAAGTTCACCAAATCAGACTGAACCATCTGAAACAGTTCACAGTTCGAGCAGGACAGATCTACAATCAAAACCACTCTAATTCAAAATTAACCAATATAATCCTGTGATGCTGGTTTTGACAACTTCAACGCTCCAGTTCCTCCAACAGTACACTAAACTGATGAAACGGTTCTGACTCGGATCGATGAGCCAATGATACACATATGCATGAACTAAGCACTTAAATAAAGGTGTGATATGAATGTTTTATGGTTTCTCTTTATCTATATAAAAAGGTGAACTGATATATGCACTTTATTTGCTTTAGGCATGTAAAACATCCGCATTTCACATCTTTATTGGATGCTTTAATAATGTAATTGCATATAAAATAGTGAACTGAACCAGGTTATTGAAACAAACTGTCCGAAAGATGGATTACAGTTAATAATGTTCTAAATAATTTTCAGTTTCTTGCACAGGCTGATCGTTTTGCTTCATAAGACCGTATTGTCAGGAGCCACGGGTATTAATTTTGTGTTGCCTGATATGCTTTTTTTTTTATTCTC